CACCCAAAGGCCATTCATTTGGACACAGCTGTTAGTCAATACACGTGATCATCATTCTGCCCTTCTGTGTGTGTGTGTGTGCGTGTGTGTTCCAGCTACATGTGATGCTGTCAAGGGCACAGCTTGCATCCGTCGTACCAAGCCGTGGTCGCCACGGCAACAGAACATACAATTCTTCCTCTTCACCTGCTTTTTGTTTTTTTTCTCTCTCTCTCTCTCTCCACTTTCTCCATTTGAACATGTTATTGTGTGGGAGTGTGTGTGTGTGTGTGTGTGACTAAGTGTGTTTATCTTCTCTCGTCTTGTGATTGGAAATGTAAACTGGACGCTGGCGGTGAGGACTCTCTGACCTTAGACCTCCCCATTGTTGTTTTAACAACGGTCACTTTTGGTGAATTTAGTTCACTTCCTGGTCTGCTTTAGCCAATCAGTGAACAGAGACTGACGTGGAGCTCTCATTGGCTCACTATCCACTATACTGGTCCTTCTTCATTCTCAGTGTACCGACTCTGTAGTTACCATGGTGCCCGCATCCACTTGGTCTCTCTCTCTCTCTCTCTCTCTCTCTCTCTCTCTCTCTCTCTCTCTGTCAGCGATGTGCTTCATTTGTTCAGGTTTTTGGATCTTGTTGCTGCTCAGCTGTTTGGTCATTTCATGTTCTCTGAGTTTTTACGCAACCACTATATACAGTATGTCTCGATATGTTTCCAAGACTAATATGTCGTAATATGGTTGTGCCTAGCTGTGTAAGTTGCCATAAGTGTATCCGCCCTGAGATCTGATGGCTTCTTCATGGCCCATTCCACATCCTTCCACCAAGTAACATGAAAATGAGAACAGTAGTTTTTCCAAGGTAAACCTGATGTGTTCGTGTGTAACGGCTGACCAATAGGCTTTACTCACCCTAAATACTCGAGTGCAATGAGTAACTTAACCAATCGTCTCTCCTCCCAACTCGGATCACACAACGTGTCCTCCTAGAGTTGCGTGGACACAATTTGGAGGACTTGTTTGGCATGGTGACGCGCTTTCTGTCTGTCTGAACAGCTTGTCTCAGTTTGGAGCAGCCGTTGACGATTGTCACCTTCTATGTCCTCATAACCCACCTCACACACACACACACACCCACACACACACACAGTCTATGCATTTGATAGCATGTGCACAGTCTGCAAGCACTGACGCACATCCTGTGCAGGTTTTCTGTTGTGTGTGTTTTATAAGGAGATGACACTATATGAAGCTTAAAGCGTTGAGGTGCAGATAGTAATCTCTGCTTTTACGTGATCTATTTCTGTGCTGTGTCTGAGTCAACCACACACACACACACACACACACTGAATGATGAAAGAGCGAGGAAGATGTAGAGAAGGAAACAGAAAGACAGAGGATGACATAGTTTATCTCGTCCTGGATACGAAGCCGCCTGTTACACAGGAAGAGGAAGTGACTCCGCTCACGCGCACAAACACGCCGTGCTCTTCTTCTACTATCGCGCCTGCACACGTGTGAAAGTTTAAAAAAGGCCAGACTCTACAACATCACTCCTCCATCATCCATCCTTCTTCTTCTTTAGCCTATAATCTGTAGCACGGCGGCCATTACACAAGTCTGTTTAATCCTGAATCAGTTTCCATTCATCTTAAGCTCTCCTGCATCAGCAGCGTCACTCGGACACTTCTCCTTTCTCTAATCTTCTCTCGTCTTGTGATTGGAAATGTAAACTGGACGCTGGCGGTGAGGACTCTCTGACCTTAGACTTCCCCATTGTTGTTTTAACAACGTACATAGAAAATGAAGCTCGTTCTATTATTACGACCTGGACTTCCACTTTTATTTTCTGTATTACAGCCATTTTCTAATGGTCACTTTTGGTGAATTTAGGAGAAAACTACCGACGCAAATAGACAGAGTAGTAAAATAAACACTTAAATGTGCAGTTGAATTCATCCCCACTCCGTCTTTACTCTTGGATTACTCTCTGTTTAGTGTTTCTACGTTGCATCACACGCTCCGTCCTCGGCATTGAACTCCTCGTGACTCACAGAGGAAACGTGTCACTCACTTTTTTTGGGGGTGGAGCTAAAACATAGACAGCAAGAAAGACTTTACAGGATGGCAGCCGGCAGGGCCGTGAAAGTGAGCCTTTCTTTATTTCATTTTTTTTATTTTTTCTCATTTACACTCCGAGGTCACACCTCCGGTAATGAAGCTGGCCGGTTGCCCCGGCAACAAGACGGGAGGAAACAGCGAGAGTAATTCTGGTTAAATGGAGACAACACAACTCTCTCCTTGTCTTACTGTCTGTTTCTCTGTGAGAGCCTCTCTCTCATCTCTCTCTCTCTCTCTCTCTCTCTCTCTCTCTCTCTCTCTCTC